GTTGTTTTTGGTGGTTGATTTTCCATTTGAGCTCAAAGCAAAGAGATGATCACAATAATTGCTTTGCATGTATAGAGAAAAAAGATGCTTAATTTAGGTTGGAAGAATTCATTTGTTTGCTTGACATACATCTTTGTCTTGATGATGCATTTATTATTTTGTGAACTTGTATTATGATATATCTTTTTAACACAAATTGTAATGTGAGGTGGCATAACAGCTAGGCGGGTATGACCCGTTATATTTTTAAGAAAATACATAGTTATAACTTATAACAACAATTAATAACACTCGCTCTTCAGCTAGGCCTTATAACAACAATTAATAACACTCGCTCTTCAGCTAGGCTCGTTAATGTTCGAGAATAGGGGTGTTACGTGATTTTCTGATTTTTTTACCTTAGCTCAACTAATTACTATTGACAACCGACGCAAGCGCGAGGTCATTTATCGGCTCAAACTTTGCTCGACAAATGCTAGATCTCGAGCTCGAGTATCCGAAGCTCGAATTTGGGTCAGCTAGGCTCGACTCAAACCCAAGCTTGAATATCAAAAGTTCGACTCAGCTCGACTTGTTTAAAACTCTATATTTCAAATTTTAAGTAAATTTGTGTTTGATAGATCTTCAAGAGGGGTGTAATATTCAGACAATTTTGTAAAGACATGCAGACATTATTTTCTGTTTGCGTGTTCGTGCAGTAAAGCGGCATTGTCCGCTTTTCCTCCCATTTTGCTTTGAAGATGCACGAGCTAAAATGGCTCTTCTTTCCAAAATTTAGTTTAATAATTACATTTTTTAGACTTAATTTATATGCTTTATCAAATTGCACTTAATTGCATACTTTCTTTTCAGTTTAACCCTTCTTAAAAGGATCGCAAATTACGGAATTAAACTTGAAATTTGAGATTAAAGAAGCGCCAATCTGCAGAGTTTTGACTGCCCAAACTTGCTAACTTCTATTTTTCTTCACCATTGCAGCGAAAAATGATATGATGGGCACAACACGAAAATTACAAAACAAATATTACGGTAACACGATGTGGGACACGAAAACGACAAGATAACACAATTTATCACCTCTGAACACTTCAGTTGGTAGATTTTCTTTTCTTTCCTTTACTTCATTCCAAATCTGGGCAATTCAAATCAAAGTATCCAAGTACCGAAAAAAATAAATAAATTCATGAACACATGAACCTCTTAACCTAAAAGGTCAAAATTCAAACATCATGCTCCTAAAAGAAGTCCAAATACTCTATTAAACAGGCAATAGATCTGTTGATTAGTTAAATTAACACGCGCATGCTTATCTTAGTGACTTATTAGGGATGACTGAAAAATCTTTAGTAGGAAAAAGAAAAGTCACATATCAAATTGCCAATCAGTTATGAGTCAATATTTGATATAGGAAATATATTTGATGCAGAAAATCAGGAAACATCTAACTATATAACCATCTAACCATATGTTTACATAGATTTTAAACACCAATCAAATCACAGAGTCAGCATTTTTTCTTACGATGCAAACTCAGTTCATCAATGAAACAATTAGTAGCAGCATCTGTAGAAGTAAAACAATATACACAGCAGCATTTAATTGCACCAAATTTCATAACAATAAGACTGTCTCGAACAGACGAACACACTTTACGACTCGGTCGAATGCTATTAGTAGAGTAAGTTTCTAAGTATTTAAAGCACGACGATATACAAACACACACACACACGCGCACAAATTTGCTTGTCATTTACTTACCACAACTTAATAGCCCCACATCATCTCAAACGGGACTCGCCAAATCTTGCTTCTCAACCAACAAAGGAAAATCATCATAAGTCTCTGAAAAACCGCGCTCCTCAGCCATTTCCCTCAACGACTCGTACAATTGATACATACTCCATCTACTCTTCGGCTGCTGAACAACACAATTACACGCTATACTCAAAAACCTCGAAATCTCCTCATCGTGTCCCTTCCCACGCAACCTCTGATCAATAGCATCCTTAATCCTTCCACAACTAGCAAGCCCGTTAACCCACTCGACTAAATTACCCTTATACCCCTCATCAACCCCACTAAGATCGAGCGGCTTCAAACCAGTCGCAAGCTCGAGAAGAATCACACCTAAACCATAAACATCCCCTTTTGAAGAAGCTAACATCGTGCTCGAATACTCGGGAGCAACGTACCCAATTTCCCCTAAATCTCCATAAACGAAACTAGTTTCGTTCGAGTCCGAAAAGGACAAAAGACTCGCCAGGCCAAAATCCATTATCCTTGCATCGAAATCTTCATCGAGCATGATCACATTCGAGCAAATATTCTGGTGCAAGATCGAAGGCCGAGTGCCATGGTGGAGCCAAGCAAGCCCTCTCGCAGACCCTAATGCAATTCTAAATCGAGTCGGCCAATCGAGTAAGCTGGCATTATCGCCACACAGCATCGAGCCTAAAGTCCCATTAGATAAATATTTATAAACTAAAAGCTTTTCATCCTCCACCAAGCAAAACCCTAGCAATGGCACTAGATTCAGGTGTCTTAACTGTCCCAACCTATTCATCTCCATTCTAAACTGCTTTTCACCCATTTTCCCCTCGCTAAGCCGTTTAATCGCCAGGGCCGATCCATCTGGCAGGATAGCTTTGTAAGTCGTTCCTGTTCGGCTTGAGACTATAACATTCTCAGAGCTAAAATTGTTCGTGGCTAGCAATAAATCAGACAATTTGACCTTGACAAGCGGCTTTTGAAACAGCATCACTTGTGTAAGCCTGTGGGCTCTCAGTATCTCCACCCAACTGCTCAAATCATCCTTTCTCCCGACCCCATAGCCTTTCTTGCTCCTTTTGTTCGATTTCGAAAAGTACAACCACCACAAGCATAACCCTAGCAACAGAGAAGCTACAGCACCAAGAACACCGGCGGCAATAATAATCACCAGACTTTTCCTACTCAGCCCACCGCATTTTCCTAATGGCCCGCCACAGAGCCCGCCATTACCACCATAATTGAGCTCCAGATTGTAGTTAAACGAAGGCACCCTGCCGGACAAATCATTATTCGCAACAGAGAATTTCTTCAGCCTCCCCAAACTAGACAACCGGTAAGGAATAACACCCGACAGGCTGTTATCATTCAAGAGCAAGTTATTCAGGTACGAGCAGTCGGCGAGGCCCTCCGGTATCTCGCCGGAGAGACTATTTCCTGACAAATCGAGCGTGGTCAAATACGACATCCAGCTGCAGAACTGACGGGGGATCGAACCGGAGAGAGAGTTTCCAGAGAGGGTCAGGGTTTGAATGCTGTTGCAGAAGCGGAACGAGTCGGGGATTGCGCCGGTGAGCCCGAAACCCGCGAGATCCAGCCCTATGAGCCGGTTTTCCTGCTCGTTCCAGCACGTGACGCCGGAGAATCTGCAGATGAATCCCCGCGTGGTGTTGGAGAAATCCCAGGTACTGAGCCTTTCGTTGGGGTCGTTCAGCGAGCTCTTCAGCTCCCGCAGGCACCTGACGTCATCTTCGGAGAGGGAGGGATGGGGTAATCTGCAGAGAAACGCTAGAAATATCAACAGGGGTTTGGTCAGCTGAAGGCGGCAGCGATCCATTGTCGAGCGGCGGAGGACGGCGGCGATCGATTAGGTTAGTGAAAGGGGAAATTCATTCAGTCTACTGTTTTGGACTTTTCTCTTTTTTTTTTCTTTTTTTTTTCAGAGGAAATGTATATTTTTGTTTTTCTGGGCTTTGACTGAGGTTGATGGAGAAGGTGATGACTGACTGTAGAACTGTGGTCCACAAATTGTGCCTGTGGTTAGTGTTTTTGACATTTTTGGCCTATAGTAATTATTAACCATGGTTAGGGTATTTACTATAAATGGACACAATAAGTAAGAATAATTAAAGATTATTTATTGACAAATGATTATTAAAGTTCGACATGTGTAATGTATGCTGTTCTAATGACACAAATAATCAATGCTCTCTCTCTTTCTTAATACATGTAGTTGTAGGATGTCAACATTTTTACAAATTAGTTGTCGTTGGAAATATTTTATTCATTCTTTTAATTTTATCTTCTTTATTCATTCTTAATTTATTCATTCTTTATTCATTCTTTCAACTTTATTCATTCTTAATTTAGAAATTTTAAATTAAAACGACATCTAAAAAGAAACAGAGAAAATAATTGTTAGATCGTGTTTGTCTTGTGTATGAGTGTATATGTGTATTATCAATTTTGCTATGAAGCCAACAGTTTGCCCCATAGTGGAGTTCTATATACAACTAGTTAATCATAATATATTAATAAAATTATTAATATTTATTTAAGTAATCAGAGAATATGATATGGTTTACTTATTTGCCAACGGTCGACTTCATAGCAAAACTGTGTGTATTATACTATAGCCCATCTATTTAGAGCTATGAAATCTATAAAGTGTAAAGGAGTTGAGTCGAGTCGAGCTCGATCTTTTAATACCTAAATTAGAATTTGAGCCTTTAATGTGTTGATTCGTGTATCTATTAGTTAAAGTAACAAGCCGATAAACGTGTCGAGTTTGATTCATCAAACTAAACGAAGCTGCTCATTTGATAAACGAATTCAAGAACGGTTCATTTAGTTTAACAACTTTAGTCCATACACACCAAAATATATGATCAAAGCATGAAATGATGGCAGTACTCATAATTGATTATCTCTAGCTAGTATTTATTATGTTTTGATAATTTGATATTAATGCTATATTAAAGTGGTCAAATGATCAAACAAACGAGTTAGACAGGGTCAGTAGTACTAGTTCCACTTAATTGTGTTGGATATGTGATGTCTTTTTCCATATTTATTGCAAATGTTTTCTAACTGTTCAGCAGATAATAATATATTTAACCAAAAACTCTGGGAGACGATGACAGGCTATATCAATGGACTGGTCAAAAGAACCTTCTTGTGTAGGTTAGGGTTTCTTTACTCGACCTAAAGGCCCAAACGTTTTGCATAAACGTGATCCATGTCAAAAGGAATTGGGTCGTCATCGTGAATGGGTCGTCATAAACGTTTTACATAAACTTTTTATCAGGCCTAAGAGCCCATTCATTTCTTACGTACAATTGGGTCGTCATCGTGAATGGCCCACTTTGTTTTGGCGCTTAATGCTTATAGGTCGAAACAGAACCCGCCAAACGACAATTCAGCAGCCACACTCTCCCGCCATACGACGACGTTCAGTATATTATCTCGTACGAATAACTGTAAATTCGTTCAGAGCACAGGGGCATTATCGTCATACGAGCACCTCGCCGCCGCAGATCGGAAAACCATGTCGGAGCCGGAGGTAAGCCGCCATATGTAGATTGCTATACCTTAACCATAGGTGATAGGTCTAAGCCTATCGCGTGTTTGATTCAGCTGCCTGGTGCAGAAAATGGAGGCGATCAAGAGAGCGTACGCGGAAATGATACTCAACACGGCGAAGGAGGCGGCGGCGCGTGTGATGGCCGCGGAACTGAGATCCCGGCGATTGGAACACGACTTGGTTTCCACTAAAGACGAGGCCGCTCGAATGCTGCTTTATTTGAAGCAATCGATCGACACAAAGGTAACCGATCTGTGAAAAATAGAAGCTATTTTTTGTTATTCGATTGAAAATGCGAATAATCCATTGGCAGTTTTAATACCTTTCGTAGGTAATATTTTGGGTCGACATATTGTGCTGAGAGGGTTTGAGTTCTTGAGTTGGAATTGATACGAGATTTGCAATCTGATCTCTGTCATTTTGATCTTGTGTTGCTAGTTTGCTTGTATTCACTTTTGTTCATTGTTTGTGCTCTTCGATAGAAGTTGGGCTTTTATAATATTTGCACCATTTTTTGACAAACAGTAACTATATGTATGCCTATGCCTCGTCTCTAGATTATCGACATTTGATTGTTGCAGTTTGAACCTGATTAGCTTGTTCTTGCAATGAAAAGAAACTAAATTGGTCTGATGCAAAACGCAAATGATATGATCGATTTTGTTAGATTTAAAATATGTGAAATACATAGCTTTTTTTTTTGGCTCTAGCTGCAGTTTGAACCTGATTGTCTGCAATAATGTTACTTAGTTGAAGATTGTTAGTTACTAGTTTAGTTAGAGTTTTGGGCCTTGGCTTTGTAGTGATTTTGATAACACTATGACTAGTATGCTTCATGCCTGGTAAGTAGTAACTGTAATTGTTGTGATAGTAATGATGGAAAAAAATTGATTGTGATGTAATTTGGAGCAGAAAATGCAATTTCAACCTGATTAGAAGGGGCTTGCACATTTGACCTGTTGCTTTATTTGATTTCAAAAATAAGAAAATGTCGATTAACTGTGAGTTATCATCCAAAGTACTAATAATTTTTTTTCTGGCTACAGACTAAGGAAGTGGATATTACATCACTGAACCAAAAGAATAAAATTCATGAGCTGGAATCTCAGCTAAATGAAGCAGAAGGCATCATAATAGACCTCAGGGCCGAACTTAACTCGGTGCATGAGCAACTAGACGAGACCAAGAACAAAAATCTGCATGTTTCAACACGAGTTGAAAATACAGAAATATTGGAAAGGGGCATTCTCAATCGAGATTTTCCTTATCAATCTAAACATAGTGCGAAAGTCAATCTCGATTTGGCCAAATCAAATGTCGTCACTAATTCGACTGGTATTGAGAATGTGAATGCTGTTAGTGGTTCACAAGCTGTAGAAGAAAGAGCTGAGTGTGGGGAAAATGAAGGTATCTCTATAGTTCGTCGAAGTTCGAGAAAAAGAAAAGTTAAGTTCTTGGATGATTTTATTACTGTGTGTGGATTGAGGAAAAAGTGTGTAAAATCAGGTGAGAGTCGGATCAAACCGGAAGATGGAACTTGAGTTGATGAGAGAGTGTTGGTTTTATTCAACTCAAGTGTGCAAAAAAGCCAACGTTGATTAATTAGAAAAACAATATTAATATTGTTATTCTGTTGTATTTGTTTAACCGATATGAATAATTTCAAATTGAAATGTCATCCTACAAAATAATATAATTTAAAAATATGATCATTTATAGCATAATTGTGCATTTCATTACAAATATAAGAAGGGTCCACTTGCTAATGATTAGATAGTTCGGTACAAGAATTTGTGTTTGAAAAATAATCCTCTTGCATTTGTGTTTCTCTCATAAATATCATACTACGATGGGGCATTTGTTTCGTGCATAAACTGAATTAGTGTGCAAATACGAGACTAGCAGATTGATGTTAAATTAGTGGACTTGACGTTATTTAGATATTTGACCAATCAAATTTGCTAATTACTTTGTCTAGTAACGAATTTATTTGATTAATCTTTTGTTTTTGAAACGTTAATTTTGAAAAAACTTAAAAGTGTAACAGATTGAGAAAAGAGGCTTAAAATAAAAAGGCAATATAACATAACTACAAACTTTTGTTATTTATCAAATGCTTATTTAACAAAACACCAATTGAATTCACTAGTGAAATTAGATAATACAATCAAAGTGTATAAGCCAAATATTCTGATTAAATGACTAAAACGAGCATTGACTTTCATAATCTAGCCTCTACACTTTAATCTCTTTTTTTGTCAATTAAAGGAAAAGAGTAAAAAAAGTTAAAAACTAAAAAATAAAAACATGATTTGATTTTTTTATATTTTTTTTTTACATGATTTGAAAATATGTGGGCTCAGTACTGAGTAGTTATTACTTATTAGTTGTATGCAACAGCATAGGCGTGAAACTATTGTCAAAACAATTCATATGTTATGTCAGTTTTCTTGCTCCGGCAAAAGGCATGCGTGCTGTCTCGGACCTCTCGGCTAACTGAGTACTTGTTAATATGTCTCATCATTAATTAACTTTTACCTTTCACAACTAGGTACTGCTTTAGAGCTTTATTACAAGTTTCAATATTCGAATTGGTACAATAAGTGTTAAGTATATATAGTATATATCATAAGATATATTATTATTTTTTATAAGCATGTAAGTTTTTTATATGAAAATTATATATATAATAAAATATATAAATAAATAAATAAATAAATATATCAACAATATCTTTTGGTTAATTCGGTTTACCAACCAAATAAATAATTTTTGGGTCAATTTGAATTCAATTTTGATCGGTTTTCAATTTAAATTCAGTTTTCAATCAATTTCGATCTATTCTCTTTTGTAAATGAAGCATTCTATTGTTTTGATTTCGCAAGTTTGATCGATTCGGTTGAACAACATTAATTATAAAATGTCGGACGTCACAAAATTTAGCTACAAAAAATAAAATAAATACTATATTTTTCTTCTGAGCACAATTATCAATTTTCTACAATGTCATGATTTCAGCCAGGAAATTCTCTGTAATTCAAACTAAAAGAATGTTTTACTTGTTTCTTGAGAATACAACACCTTTCTAACATACTAAAAAGCCGGTGCACGCCTAAAGCCCATGCCTAAAAAATTGTTACTAAATATGTTGGAAGCAATCATAAGCTTGTCCATTGTCTGCCCAAAATGTCTTATTATTGTCTCTTTCATTCCTCACATCATTACAGCTCTTGCCAGCCATGGCATAAAAAAAGATGGCCCAAAAAATCATTCCTCATGTTTTCTCCTCAAAATATAAAAAAAGGACTCTTTGAGCTTCACATATAAACACACTCTTTCAGTGTTTTATACATTTTTTGTTGTATCAAACTAGGAGAGAAAAATGGCGAGAGATGAAAAGAGAGAGGATCAAATACAAGCGGTTAGCTTCGCGGCTGGAATGGCTGCTTGCATGGCGTGTGTCCAACGAGCGATTATAGTGTCGGTTTTCGTGCATTGGCGTATATGGGCTTTTCTTGCTCTCAACCTATTGCTTTTAGCCATTCTTTTCACGTCAAAGTTTCAAAACGTTAGAGCCGACCAAGAAAGTGGCCGGAATTTGGATTTCGAGAAGGAAAAGAATGCGAAGCAGGAAAATGAAGCGCCGGAACTTGAGGAGAGTTCGGTTGATGGCGGCGATTGTGATGAAAAGGAGGTGGAGTTGCCGGAGGAGGACAAAACGGTAAATGAAGAGGAAGAAGATGAAGATGAGCTCTCGAAAGAGGAATTGAACAAGAGAGTTGAGGCTTTCATTGCTATGTTTAGGCAGCATTTGGTGTGTGATGCAAAGGGCAAGAGTTTTGAGCAGCAAATATATTAATTGACTAGCAAAAAAGAGATTGATTCAAAACTTATTCCAGTAATTAACTTCATAGATAGCAATTTTTTGTGTGTGTGCTTTCTTCTTTTTGCACTGTCTTCAGTTTTTCACCTTCTCTCACTTTCTATCGTCCTTCTCAACATAGAAGAGATATCGACAATTCTTTTGAGCAGCCATTTGTATGGTATCAAATTTCCTGTTCCATTTTCATATTTCATCTCGTATATCATTCCGTAGGATTCATAACAATTGTATTAATATTATGTCATCATAAACACACGTTATGTATCCAATGGAGTGAGACACGAGATAGAATACATGACTGAACCGTATTCCCAAAAGAAGCGAATTATGCATAAATTCAATTAATGAAACTAGATGGAGTGAAGCTATCATGCTTTTTCATCTGGTCGATTCTTTTCTTAATGATTAGAATTTTGTAGATTTCCCAACAGCAGAGTCGATTCTTTCCAGTACCTCGACAATTTCTTCCATTGATGGCCTGCCTTTTGGATCATATTGAAGACAACTTAAAGCAAGTTGAGCTATTTGACTCGCAGACCTTAAAGGATACCGTCCTTCCAAACGTGAATCCATCACACTCCTTAATTTTATCCTTAATTTTGGCTTGACCCACTCGACCAAATGTTGTTGACCAGATGGACGATGTCTATCAATCACCCGTAATCCCGTGAGCATTTCTGCTAGGATTACACCAAAACTGTATACGTCACTCTTTGCATATAAATGCCCTGGTAAAAGATAAAGACTATATTCCATTAGAACAATCGCAACACTAGCTTTAGTTACATGCCTTTCAGTACGAATGAACTGAATATAAAATAAAACCTGTCGCGATGTACTCGGGAGCTGCATAACCACATGTCCCCATTACCCTTGTCGACACATGCGAGTAACCGGCAGTTGGACCATCTTTTGCTAGGCCAAAGTCTGAAAGCTTAGCATTGTATGACTGAGACTCAACATCAGATCAATTAAACAAAATGGTATTAGTGATGTCTTTAATTATAACATATGAGGAGAAAAATATGCATTTCCACAGATAGATAGATAGATAGATAGAGAGATGGTACCTCATCAAGCAGTATGTTTGAGGGCTTCACGTCTCTGCAGATAACTTTTGCATGATGCAAGAATGCCAGACCACGAGCTGCTCCAATTAATATATTTACCCGAATATCCCATGGAAGAGGAAGAATAGCAGGATTCCCTGACAACCAAACGTCAGCATTAGCTGTGAAAAAAAATAATGAATCATTAACATTCTCACAGAAGTTCGTTCGATCCCTTACTGGTGAAAAGAAGGGCATCTAAGCTGCCTTTTTGCATGAATTCATATACAAGTAACTTTTCTCTATCATCGCAACAATAGCCAAGAAGCTTAACTAGATTCGGATGAGAAAGTTTTCCAAGGAAATTCACCTCAGCCTGCAGAAATAATTTTACACGTAAGATGGCACTCTGGTAAAGAAAATGCTTTAAGACATATATAACTTCAAGTACGAAGAAAACCAACAATAAAGAGAATCTGACAAAGTATTTCCAGTTTGCACGTACAACATTGCTAAACTCCAACTGTTATGAATATTTAACATATTTTTCCAACCTTGGAAACTCTTATAATGCAGTAAATGAATACCTTCCACTCTTCTAACCCCTGAAAGCTTTCAAGACTCAATTTCTTAACAGCTACAATGTGTTCCCTCTCATTTTTACCATTTGATTTCTCCTGGATCTTGCCTTTGTAGACTACCCCAAACCCACCCTCTCCAAGGAATGTATCATGTCTGAAATTCTTTGTGGCAGATTTCAACTCTGAAAAGGTGAAAATCCTTAAACTGGGACTCGACTCATTGCCTTCATGAATTCTCTTCTCATAAGCTGTGCTGCTTCCTAACCTCGTGCTTATGGTCCTATGTGATAAAGGTGCTGCAAAAAGTATACAAAAAGTCCAGATAATTTTGTACGGCTTTAGCACAAAAAGAAAAAAGAAACAGTACTTAAAGTTAATACCACTGATCTTTTCATTGCATCAGCTAAACTGAAGTTGGAAGCTCTTATGGCTAACTTGAAAGAAAACAAATTAGTCCAAAGACTGTACTAACAAAAATCATAATGATAATAGGCAGCACGATACTACATCAACACAAAAGTTACTGTTACTGTCTCGTGCTAGAGTTTTAACGGGTAAAGTTATCCAGTTTAATCACGAGTACTTTTTTCATCTCTGTTGATTACCCAATCATGCAGCACAATAAATTCGTAATAAATCCACATCAAGGCACCATAGTTCGTTTATTTCCGATGTGCTTTCCGACTTAACATTGAATTGCTTGCGGTATTAGTTAAGACTAACATGAAGAGTCTACACAATGTGACTTTTAAAACTTCAGCATTATATGTATAAATTCTAACTGAATCAGTACCTGATACAGATATCATTCCCATTTTCTTTGGTTTACTGGTGCCTGAAAATGCATTCCAAGGCAAAAGACGTGATAACTTATGCATCACGCGCTTTTTTCCATCTCTCTTTTCACCTCTGATCATTCCACTGTAAGAATCGTTGAGGGCAGATGTAACACTTTGCACATTAGAGGAAGCCACTGTTGCTTGTTTTGTGCCCACCGAAAAGCTAACTTTATCCTTACGTGGCAAGGTGTTGGTAACACTTGTTATCTCATCAGGTAATGAAGATACTATTATCCCCTGGTTAGTTTTAGCAGCAAATGCCCTGTCACCGTCACCATTTGTCATCTTGTTCTGCACGAAAGAATTTGCGTTCTCGTCCTGGGGCGTCACGTCAACCGCATTTGTTATCTCATTTTGATCAGGAGAATTGAAGTTCGTTTGCTCAGCTTTACCATTAGATGGAAAGAAATCAGCAACACTAGTTATTTCATTGGGTACCGAAGATTCTGCATTCTCCTGCTGCTTAAGAGCAAACTCAAGTCTTATTACAACGTTAACCATTGCCGGCCTTTTCTTCGGTTCATCATGTAAGCATCTCTCCGCAACCCTTAAAAATGCTTTCAGGCTATCTTCTGAGATATCCCCTCGTATACTTGGATCTACAATCTGTTCAAGTTGTCCATTACTTATCTTACCCCGAGCCCACATGGTTAAACTACGCTCATCCTCTTCAGCCGATGGCTCCACCGCTGGTCTCCCACAGAGTACTTCCAACAAAACCACACCAAAGGAATATATGTCACTTTTTGTTGTCAGATTACGAGTTTTAATATAATCTGGGTCAAAGTAACCAAATGTGCCTTTGAGATTTACACTTTGCAACTCGCTTCCAGTTTCAGTTCTAGCTAAGCCAAAATCTGAAACCTTGGCCACAAAATCTTTGTCAAGTAGGATGTTTGACGTCTTTACATCTCGATGTATTATCCCATGGCCTGTGTGAAGATAGTCAAGTCCTCGAGCTGCTCCTATGCAGATGTTAAGCCGTTGCTTCCACGAGAGAGAAGGACAGGCAACGTTTTTCCTAGAAAGTTTGTAAAGGTGGTCAGCCAGAGTTCCACGGGACATGTACTCGTAAACAAGAATCATTTCCTGCCGCTCATTGCAATATCCGATCAAGGAGACCAGATTAACATGCCGGAGCTCAGAAAGCATTTCAACCTCCGTCCAAAACTCTCGCTTTCCTTGCTTGGAGCCCGACTTCAATCGTTTTATGGCCACGGCCTCAGGCCCATTATCTATGAAGCCTTTGTAGACTTTACCAAATCCACCTTTTCCAATGGAAAATACATCGTTGAAATTCATGGTGGCTGATTGGACATCAGCTAGAGAAAAGTGACGGCACAGTCGCTTGGTCTTGGTTGGCGGATTGAGTTCCTCCTCCGTTAACTGGGATCCCCAAATCTTCTGCAGCACATGAACAATTACATTTACCATACAAATTACAGTGATGACAAGAGTTGCAAGTGCATTTCTGTGACCCAGGAGTGAGATTATAACATTGGTAGTCGAATCTATAGTCGGAATCAAAGGATTAGGACTGGCAAGACTGTTGTCATGGTTGCTTAGCTTGAATATTTCAAACCCTTCGAGTGGAATATTGTATCCCTCCACCAACTCATCTTTAGAACTCAGGGAAATCAAGATATCACGCTTGCCCTCTCTTTTGTGGCCCTGCATCATCACCATGTAATTCTTATACCAAATGGTGCCTTCATCCTCTCGGAGCATGTCGGAGCCAGTGGCCGCAACCACGTGATTGATGAGAAGCACGAAATCATTGGACTTGGCAGCCATTTTCGTTCTCAACTCTGAGAAATGAAGCCTGATCAAGTAGCGGAACCCTACATCCACAGATACTTTCCAGGTGATACTATTATTGTTGTTATTGAACTTGTCGTCGGCTTTTTCGTTGACAACGGTAGCCCACTTTCCGAACGCACCGGAAGGAACAGAATCCCATCTGACATTGAGGCGGTGAACGGTCTCAAGCGCAGTGGTATTATCAATGTGGACCACTGAATTCTGGCCAAGCACTCGCACATCGCCACCGTGGCAGTAGGAAAGAGCGGGAGGTAACGAGATGAGCTCGAGGCCGTTGATAAAAGCATAGGTGCTCTTCTGGTTTTGCTGCAAGGACGGGGAGAAAAGTATGTGGAAGGGCTCGTTTTCAAGCGTGGCGATTAAACAGAACTCCTTGGAAACAGTAGAGAGAGCGAGGGCGCGAGCGGTGACGGAGGGACTGAAGTTGGAGAGGAGGGTGAAGGGGCCGGCTTCAACGGTGAAAAAGTCGCCGTCGCCGTCGCCGTGAAAGTTTCCATTTAGGCAAGGGTGGAAGTGAAGGCGGATAAGCTTGTGACCTGGAGTGGGGAGGCGGAAGGAGTAGGAGAATTGAGAGCGGGACACGCGCGCGCTGGCGAAGGGAACTGGATCGACGGCGAGCGGGAGGTCGGCGTTGATGAGGGTGAAGGAAGAACCTTTGACCCAGAAATTGGACTTGTCATGGTCATCGTCGTCGCCTAGCCAGTGCCTGCCACCGAGTGCTGCTGAAGTGGGAGCAGGTGATCCGCAATTGATTGAAATGTGGTCGTACGCGGCGGCGGAGGCTGCTACTATGAAATCAGATGTAAGCGTACTAATAAAGAAGAAGAAGATGATGATGATGTTGCAACGGTAGTCGCTGCAATGAAAACTGAGATGCATCCGCCCTTGTGTGTGTGTTCTTGTTATTTTAATAGAAAATAATAATTATTATTAATTCGTATGTAGAAAGTAGAAACTAGAAAGTAATAAGAATGAGATGAGAGAAATGAAATGAGAAAGGTCAATTGCGGGTCAACTCAACTCACTCTCACCAATTCAACCCCACTCATCATAAATTAATTATTCAGTTATTCAATTGAATCAATCAATCTATCTCAATTTCCTTCCCTTTGTTAAGTGGTTGCTAGGAAGACACAACTCTTCGTTTCACACCTTCCAAAGTCCCATGCTTAGACTATCTTCTGTTAATATAGCTGACTATCTTCTGTTAATATAGCTGAAAAGTTAGTACATGTTTCTTATATATATATAGTTGATAAGTTAGTTGGTAGTTTATAAGTAAATTTTAAATTTATATTTGATCACTTATAGCTAAAAGGTTAATTGATTAAATAAAAGTGTTTGGTAAATTAGTCCATAGTCCGTGCGATGTACGAAACACATATATATTAAATAAGTCGTTTTCATAAATCTTGTTCGTTTAGGCACAAAAAATAATAGGGTCGAATAATTCATTTTTCATATCTTTTACTCAATGATGTTTATTTTAATCAGTGATGTTTATTTTGGCAAGAACATTAACATGTTAATTAATATATTATTCTGTTAACACGTTATACTAATATAAATTTGGTTTTAGAATATATATTTATTCATTGATATAAGAAAAAAAAAAAATAATAAGAATATCACTTATTTTTATTCACCATATAATAATAAAGTATTATTTTATTATAAAATTTATTTTCATATTATTTTATTTTTATTATTTATAAAATTTATAGAAGTAATCTGTCTCTTCTTATTAATTTATGTAATTAAAAATACCAATATATATTAAATTATTTTCAATAGATTTATACCAGTATATATTAAATTATTTTCGGCAGATTTACAACAGATACGTGTATTCTACGGATATTAATGTATTGTACGAATTTGGATTCCATAAAAAAGGATTTGCATCAATCATATACAATGAAATAAATCCCTCCACAAAAAAAGAAAAAGTTGAGTCCAAATTGTGAAAAAATTAATGCAATGGCGTGAAAGAAGGATTTATTACATATTATCTCTTGCAGTTAATGCTCGCTATTTATTAGGCCGAAATTAATGCAATAGCGTTTAACAAAAACAGCTCATATGGAATGATTTTATGATAATTAATTCAGTGTAATTAATGAGGCGTGTGAAAATGACATAAAACTTGTCGTTTTTGGAAAATAATTAATGCAAACCAGACTTTGACCATAAATTGACCTACTAATTTTGATAAATGTTAATTCTTATTATATATATATAGATTTGTTTTACGTCATATCAACTTTATTCACTACATTTCCATCATATTATTAATCTTTTTTTGTAAAGTTTCTTTTATCTATATTATTCTAACTGTATGCATCAATAATCCATCAAAGACAAGCAAGGAAGCAAATATTAAGTCTCAACAGTGAGATACAACATTACCAGTATTTGCACATACCTTCGAGGCTTAGCATGGATGTGATTTACCTTTGGCATATGAACAATCTTGAGTACTTAGTTGTCTTTATTTCCATTTAGTGAACACACAAAATTGTGGTGTTAGAACCAAGTGTTAGATCCAATGAAACTACTCTCCTGAAAATGTTAGCTTTCGATAGCTTGTCTAAAGGATTTCGCCAAAGTTCCTCCGAGTTATCTCGATTACAGCTTGGACATAAAAATCTCTTCTGCAGCTTATCACCTAGAGTAGCATACTTCACTTCCAGTTCTGATAACTGCTCGTATTAGGTCTAGGCAGAACATGATAAAGGAAGAAAATAATATACATCAAGCTAATAAATACATGGTGTATTGATGTATTTGGACGATTTGAGAATATAAAAAGATCGCAAGTAGGGTTATAATAAATACATGGTGTATTGATATATTTGGATGATTTGAGAATATAAAAAGATCGCTCTGCCGTGGACGTAGGCACATTGCCGAACCACGTAAATCTTGTGTTGTTTATTTTCTCGTCTTTAATTCGTATTGCCATCATTTCACAACAAGTTACATTTACATTTCCATCTAATTAATTTACTTAAATTGAGCTCGACTGAAAGGAGAGGAGCGAAAGAACACCCGATTCATCCGTTGGCCAAAATTTGTTTTGTATAATTATTCTTCTTCTCAACTATTTCTAAGCACGTTCATTATTTGATTATTTTACATCATATCAACTTTATTCTTTTTTCTTTACAAATAATCAAACTGTATGCATCAATAATCCAACAAAGACAAGCAAGGATTAAGTCTCAACAGTGAGATACATTACCAATATTTGCACATACCTTCGAGGCTTAGCATGGATGTGATTTACCTTTGGCATATGAACAATCTTGAGTACTTAGTTGTCTTTATTTCCATTTAGTGAACACACAAAAATTGTGGTGTTAGAACCAAGTGTTCAATCCAATGAAACTACTCTCCTGAAGGATTTCGCCAAGTGTTCGATCCAATGATTTACCTTTGGCATATGAACATTCTTGAGTACTTAGCTTGTTTGAAGGATTTCGCCAAAGTCCCTCCGAGTTATCTCAATTACAGCTTGGACATAACAATCTGTTTTGCAGCTTATCACCTAGAGTAGCATACTTCCCTTCCAGTTCTGATAACTGCTTGTGTTAGGTCAAGGCAGAACATGATAAAGGAAGAAAATAATATACATCAAGCTAAAGCAGGTAACAAAAGTGAGAGGTTATAGTAGATGTAGCAAAATCAATAGCAAAAATATTGGATGAATGATTATTTCTTAACCTCATTCTTTTCCCTTTTTCCTAGACAGGCTATATTCAGTTTTTCCCTACATAGGGACATGGCAAACAATACTATATAATAGTTGAATCCTATCAAAACGATGAGAAAGGATGAGGAATGCAATTCAGCAAAGAAAATGAAGCAAGCTGCCTTATCTTTTTCTGTTCTTTATTGTTTCAGCATGTAAGGATTTCAGTCGGTAACTTGTGTTGGCTCATGCTGGGCTCAACTAATACAATATACCCCAGTAGCTAAAGTGTCTACTATACGGCAAATAAACCAGTTTTTCCTATTCTTTCTCAAAAACTTACACTGATTCAGATTAAGATATCAGGAAGCAATTGACAAAATTCAAGGATATCTGTTCATCTCCTGCAGTTCCCTGTTTTCTTTCATCACGGACTCCAACAGCAATGCTTTCTTTTCCAAATTAATAAGCTCCTGTTGGACCTGCACACTCCAAAAGTTTGTTCAATTTATTCAACAACTTAAAATTCACATACAGCACATCACACTTAAAAGTGATTGAACAGACTTGTTTAGTGCAAAAAGAACCCCTTACCTGATCATGGAACACTTGCTCAGCTTTATAGTGTTCTCCACCCTGCAAGACTATTTCAGCAAGCTTATTCTGAACCACTCTCGCTTGTTCAGCATCTTGATATGCAGTCAAGGAGCCTGAATTCCAATGAGTACAAAATATAAGTTAATCACAAATTAACTGCCATAAAATTGAGGACTAAGCAATCCATTGAATCAGTTATATCACATAGAAGAAAAATCAGCCTTATGTCCAGGATAACTTGCTTATTCCCCACAACAAATTATTGATTGTTGAAAATTATAGTCTCCTGGATTTTTTACTCGAGCAAACAATTAGTAGAAATAATATGACCTCTTAGTCATGCAAAATTGATACATACCACAAGTTAGAGTTGCATCAGATTGATGCACGGCAATGCAAGCGGAAGATAGCAGCTCTTGAAATTTCCTGCGATTCCAGATAGAGGTATATTCTGAATATAGAGGATAAAATTTCTTTTGAAAATTTGAATAGTTTATTTTAAAGCTAGATTACCCATCAATAACTGGATTAGTACTCCTACCACAATCTTATATTTTGTTTTACGCAATCCAATTTATACACCGCATTGGACTAATGAGGAGAAAACATAACATGCACGTTATTACTTTGAAAAGGAAAAACCTCTAACATTATTTATCTCAAAGGATAATGGTCTCCATCAAATTCCAATGTCCAAAAGCAAACGGAAGCAATAAACTCCAATTTTTGAAACCAAAGTAGATGTACCTTATCTCTGCATTTAGCTCAAGCATTTTCCCAGTAAATTCATCTCTGCCAAAAACAATATCAATCATACATTTAGAATTTAGATGCAGGTAAGGTCTCTAAATTGACAATTGTAAGTAGTAAAACAGAAATATATATTTACATGTATGCTTACCTTGAGAAACTCTCTTCACTCTTCACATCATCGAGGCACAGTTCACGAAACCAAAGCAACGAAAATATGAAACAGAAATGTATAGGACATTACTACCATTGGCTGTGCATACAAATTAAGCAATTATAGAGGAATTAATGCACCTTGAGAGCTCCCAATTCAGCCCCAAGTGTCGATATCTCATTGTTCATCAGAGTAATCCTCGCCTAAAACCAAATACAAGCAATCACGTCAAGAAATCATTACAATTTTACAAAAAACAAGTAACCAGCTGCAAATACTCGTTCCTTCGCAGCAATCGCATCAGGAAAAAACACAATAAACGAACATGAGATTACCGGAAAACAAACCAAAAAATCGCATCCACA